GGATACGTAAATATCCAACACTAATACACACATACAAATAAACATGCCAACAAAGAGTAAGATCATACAAGACAAAAACTATGCCTAAGCGAGGAAAAAGAAAAATTCCGACGTGGTCAAAATAGCGATTGACAAACTACAACTATGACCATGTCTTTACCAGTCATATCTTGATACCACAAGGATAATGAGAAAGGTTCTTCAACAGGAACGCCTTCAGGAAGGGAACGACGCTCAAACGCTGTCGTCAACGTATCTAACCATCAACTCGCCGGTGAAAAAACCCACAGCGGCCAAGTCGCTCCTCCTCCTCCAAGAAAGAAAGCTAGGGTTTCTGCCTCTCGCCGGCGCCGCCGCAGGTCCGCCTCGTCTCCGGTGGCCCTAGGGCCATGGGGGCGCGGTGGATCCTGCCAAGGGCTGGCGGGAGGGCTCCGTTTTCAGTCATTTTTTCCTGTCTTGTTAGGGTTTTTGTCATGCTCAGGAAGGCGAGACGGCGGCGGCTCCCTGAAGATGGAATAAAGGTCTCTCTGCCCAGACCCCGTTCTGGCGGTCCATCTAGCATCGTTGGTTGGCGTGTGGAGGTGTGTCTCCGACGGATCTATCTTTGGTGGATTTGCTCGGATCTCATCGTTGTTCGTCTACGTTCGTGTGTCTTCGAGTTGAATCCTTCCAACCTACGTTATCCTTCATCGGCGGCGGTTGCTGTTCTGGTGCGCTGGTCCTATGGGGCCTTAGCACGACGACTTCCCGACTGTCTACTACAACAAGTTGTGCCCGACTCCGGCGATGGAGGGGTGATGACGGCGGCGCGCCTTCGGCTTGCTTCAGTGCTTGTAGTCGTCGCTAGGTGGTCTACAGATCTGGATGTAATTTTTATTTCTGGTGTTCATTGTACTGCCATGATTGAAGATGAATAGATTGGAAGTTTTTTCGCAAAAAAAGGCCAGATTCTAGGTTTTACCCCCAAAGAACAAGCGTGAGCATGCCCGAGCATGCCCAAACAAGGTAATTACGCAGAAAAACATCATCATTGCCTAGGTATAACCAACTCGGGCCAGGCTTAGGGTTTTCACCCAGGAGCACAAGACCGGGTACTCGAGAAGAACCACAAAATCAGATTCAATCATGCATTGGCGCCACCACTTTCCATAATCCCAGTAATTACATGCGCTGAAA